GGGAGGGGGGGGGGGAGGGAGGGAAGAAGAAAGAGGGGTCAATTTGACTAGGGTCATTCTCTACTGCCATAGTTATCCAGTACCCTAATCTAATGTGCTAAAACCTTCAATGGTTTCCTATCGCCTTCAGTATAAAATCAGCCTACCCTAAAATGTACTGAGTGATTTTTAATATCAGCAACAACTAAGCACTTTCATATTTGCTATCTCTAATTCCTCCCACAATAACTCTTTATTATATGAGACAATTAAAGCTTAAAGTGGAGAATTAACTTACTCACACAGAAGTAAGAAGCAGAGCTTTGACTTGAACCAACTACTATTCATTACATCATTCTGCCTTCCCCTCCTAACTGTGGCGAGCAAGGCCCCTCATAACATCACCCTGAATCTCCTTCTGCCTTCATTTCCTGCCATTCCTCTGTGTAAGCACCTAAGTCATATGACACCAAAGGTTTCCCAATTCCTCCCTTACTCGATGCTTCCCTCTGTCTACACTGCTGTTTTGTTGGCTGTTTCCTCCACCTTCCTCCTTCTCCAGCTTGTTGAATTTCTGCATCTTCTTCAAGACCCTTGTCGATGGTACTACTCTTGTAAAGTTAAAACCTGGAATAACAGACCTTATTATAATTACGGTTGCTGTGTTATGTGGATTTTTATGCTTTTCGACTACCTGAAGATTTGATGTAACATTTGTCTTTATGTTCTATAGTGATTTCACATTACTCTCCTACCATACTGGCTACTGCAGGGAAAGGGATCTGCTCTAGCTCATTTTTATACTTCCATAGCCAAACAAAATGTTAGGCATCTAAAGGGTGTCCCCTACATGTTTATTAAATTAGTGAATATATGAATTAATTGACTTGAACGGATATCAAAACCAGTGGTCAGCCTGCACACTGAAGGGTTTCAGGTTCGATCCCAGGCTCGGTCCAGGCTCATGCGGGAGGCAACGAATTTATGTGTCTCTCTCACATCAATGTTTCTTGCTCTCTTTCTTTTTTGTTTTTAAATATATTTTGATTGATTTCAGAGAGGAATGGAGAAGGAGAGAGAGATAGAAGCATCAATGATGAGAGAGAATCATTGATTGGCTGCCTTCTGCATGCCCCACACTGGGGATCAAACCCACAACCCGGGCATGTGCTTGGACCGGTAATCGAACCGTGACCTCCTGGTTCATAGGTTGACACTCAACCACTGAGCCACACTGGCTGTTTTTAATTGGTATGAAATGTGGATATATATATATATATAGCATAATATGGTAATTAGACCATATGTCCTTCTGAATGTCCTTCCAGACGACCTTCCAGATGAAGCCAGGGCTGTGAGGGAAGCCCGGGTCCTGGGTGCTGGCTGCTGGGGGAAGGAAGGCCTACTCTTGCATGAATTTTGTGCATCGGGCCTCTAATATATATATCTCACAAAAACCTAAAATAAGAAGTGGGTTATAGAAAGAGTAAATCACTCTTTTTGACTAATTAAGACTTGCTTTATTATGTATTGACATCACATTTTTGGAGATGAAGAAGGTTGTAAGTAAATTGAAAATTTCTGTGTATATTTTGCTTTCTTATATGATAAAAGTATCTATACTAATAAAAGGGTAATATGCTAATTAGACCGGACATTGTCCAGACCACCTTCCAGATGTCCTTCTGGACACAGCCATAGTGGTGGGGCTGAAGCAGAGGTAGTTAGGGGCAATCAGGCCGGCAGGGGAGAGTAATATGTTATTAGTACATTGTAATCTGTAGGCATTTACTTTTTTATTGAATTTTTGGGGGTTATATTGGTTAATAAAATTATATAGCTTTCAGGTGTACAGTTCTATAATACATCATGTATATTGTGTTGTGTGTTCACCATCCCAAGTCATGTACCAGTTAGGGGCATCAGGCTGGCAGGCAGAGTGGTTAGGGGTGATCAGGCAGGCAGGCAGGTGAGCGGTTAGGAGCCAGCAGTCCCGGATTGCAAGAGGAATGTCCAACTGCTGGTTTAGCCTCAAACCTGCACTGATCTGGCCTAAATCAGCAGCCGGACATCCCCTGAGTGGTCCCAGATTGGAGAGGGTGCCTCTGGTCATCATCATACTGTTATTTGTCTATGAGGTTGTATGTTTTTTTCTTAATTCCTTCACCTTTCTCACCTAGACCTCCTACCCTCTTCTCTCTGACAGCTATGAATCTGTTTCTATTTTATTTGTTAGTTTATTTTGTTCATTAGATTCCACATATAAGTGAAATCATATGGTATTTGTCTTTCTATGATTGGCTTATTTCACTTAGCATTAGACATTTAATTTTTTTCTTTAATCATATTGGAATCTGTTTTTCTCATATTCAGAAACAAAATATATTTCACTAAATTCTTTTGTGGTCTGTTTTTATAATCAAAATGTAATGTTCTTCTCTTTCAGTTAACTGACGGTAGAGATAAATTAAAGGCTGAACTTAATGCTGAAAAAGTGTTAGTTCAAGAAATGGTAAGGTGATTTACATTATTTCCTAATAAATTTGAATTCAGGAATTTAATTTAATCATGAGAGTTTTATAAACTGTCTTTGTACCTGTTTATTGTGAACTATTCGTTTTGCCTTTATCAATAATCTAAGTGCATGCATAATTATAAACATTTTAAAATGATCATTTGAGAAGTATTATAACAAATATACTTACTATGTAGAAGAGTTTTACATAAGAAATAGTATTATAATTTAAAGTAGTGTATGAAATTTTTAAATTTTATTATGGAGAGCCCAGTATTTTGAAGGATTTTCTATTTTTAGTTACAAATTGCCCTAAGTGACAAAAAAAGAGCCAAGTTAGATATTTTGGCATTCTGTGTTAGTTTCATAAGAAAACACTGCCTTTTTATGTCCTTTTAAGAGAACTTTCCAGACGGCTGGTCTTTTATTTTATCAGTTGACTACCCACCCCCGGGTTCCCCCATTCTACCCCCCACCCAGCTTATGGGGTTGTACTTTGGCTTTCAACTGATCACCACTAGTATGTCTTTGTTACAGTAAACTGACTGTGTTTATTATAATCAAAAATAAAACACAGCTTGACTTGCGTTCTAAATGTGCCTGAAAAGAATATGATACTGTTTAGAAGAGAAAAGGTTGTTCATAGGAAATCCACACCACTTCAGATATTGAAACATGCCTCTTTTTACAGCTTGTCACACTTTGTGCCAAGTCATGACTGTTTTCCTAACTCTGTTTTGTTACTCTCGGCACCATGTGTTTTGGGTTCCTTGTCATAGAAATTAATGCAAAACAATGCTCCCGGACTACAATACAGCCTTCTATGAAACCAACTTGTGAATGCAGGCAAAGGAAAAAAAAATGATGGTTAGCTAGTCACAGAAACCATGTATTAACAAATATGTTATTTTGAACTCTTTACCTTTAAATACCTGCATATAAAAAGTGGCTTAATTATTTGCATATACTTGGTGAATCTCTTCTGCCCCACCCCACCTCTTCTTTCCAAAGTCCAGGAGTTGCTTCTGAAAACAACTAAATGTTGTCATTGAAATGGAAAGTGCTATTATAGAGTGGGAAGCAAAGGTTATATTGCCCGTTTGTTAGCAATGTTAGACAAGAAATTAAACTACTCAATCAGGAAGTTTGTGCCTGTATTAAGAACAGTCCCCATAGTTTTTGAATCACTTTTCCTCTTTATTTGAACTGTATGTGGTTAACCGGTGCTATTCTGTTGCCCCCGGGGGAACCAATCACCTTTTATTTCGTTGTTTAGAAGTTTGTTGAGCACCCGCTTGTTGCCAAGCAGCAAGATCTTTTATCACAAACCCCACAACAGCATAAGAGCCTCAGCCCCTCAAAACTAGTTTGGGGTCCATGTTTTCAGTGGAGGCAGTAAGCTTAAGGTTCCTCTTACAACCAAGCTTTCCATGGCATACCGTTGGGCCCAGCAAGGTCACTGTTTGGCACCCTTCGCCCCCCACCACGCATTCTGTTATTCACCGGGAGGGAGGCTGGCTTTGTGGCTACTTGGGCTTCCTTTGTTTCTTGCCAGAGTGCTTTTTTCCAGAAATGAAGGTTTGTGATTGCGCCCAGATGGAGGAGTGGGAGAAGGTAGAGGGACCAGAGTCAGTTTGTAAAACTTAAAAAACATTCTCACTGAAGGGTTTTTGTTCCATGCTTGCCTATACAGTTTATTTTCTGGCCTAGTTAAAGCCTCGTTTTAAACGTCATAGAGCTGGTAGTAAAAAGTATAGGTAAGCAATAAAATATGGAGCAATTGTATCCTTAGATTGGCTTTAAGGGAAGCATATGAAAAAATGATATATTTTCCTAAGATGCCTACGCTTAGTGGCATTCTTTTACTTTTAAATATAATTGTCATATAACATTGTATTTTAAGTGTACAACGAAATGATTCAATATATGTATATATTGCAAAATATTACCAGGATGAGTTTCGTTAACATCATTCGCCATACAGTTATAAACTTCGTTTCATGATGAGAACTTTTAAGATTTATTCTCTTAGCAACTTTAAATATATAATACAGTGTCGTTAACTATAATCACCATGCTGAACCTCACATCCCCAGGACTTCATTTGTTTTATAACTGGAAGTTTGTACCTGTTGACCACCCTCACCATTTCGCCCCTCCATTCCTTGCCTCTGGCAACCACCAATCTGCTCCTTGTATCTATGAGGTTATGAGGTCATTTATGTGTTTTTTTAAATATATTTATTGATTTCAGAGAGGAAGGGACAGGGGAGATAGAAATATCAATGGTGAGAGAGAATCATTGATTGGCTGCCTCTTGCAGGCTCCCCATCGGGGATCAAGCCTGACAGGTAATTGAACTGTGACCTCCTGGCTCATAGGCAGACACTCAACCACTGTGCCATGCCTGCTGGGCTATGAAGTGTGGGGTTTTGGTTTTCTTTTCAGATTTTACTATAAATAAGATAATATGCGATTTTTTTTCTGTCTGATTTATTTCACTTGGCATAATGGCCTTAAATTTCATCCATGTTGTCACAAATGGCAAGAGTTCATTCTTTTTTATGGCTGAGTAATATTCCATTATATATATACCATATCATCTTTATCCATTTGTCTATTGATGGACACTTAGCTTACTTATATCTTGGCTATTGTAACTAATACTTCAGTGAACATGGTAGTGCACATACCTTTTCAAGTTAGTGCTTTTTTATTCCTTTAGATAAATACCCAGAAATGGAATTTCTGGGTCACATGGTAGTTCTATTTTTAATTTTTTGTCTTTGTACCTGTTTATTGTGAACTATTCGTTTTCCCTTTAGCATTAGACATTTAATTTTTTTCTTTAATCATATTGGGATCTGTTTTTCTCATATTCAGAAACAAAATACATTTCACTAAATTCTTTTGTGGTATCAACAGTTGTTAATTTGCATATAGTAGCTCTGATTGGCTGGTGGGCGTGGCTTAAGGCATAGCAAAGGTATGGTCAATTTGCATGTTTGTCTTTTATTGGTGTAGACTAGGGGCCCGGTGCACAAAAATTTGTGCACTGGGGAGGGGGTTCCCTCAGCCCAGCTTGCCCCCTATCACATACTGGGAGCCCTAGGGGATGTCCTACTACCTGCTCCCTGCTCCCTTGGGGAGTGGGCCTAAGCCACAGTCTGGCCACCCTTTGTGGGAGTCGA